AATTTCACTAATGTCATAATTGTATCCCATTTTTGTTCTAACATCTGTCAGAACTTTCAACCAGAATCTTGTATTGCGAGTAGTATTCTTAACTTCACCATAATTTATTGTGTCTTTGATTTCTTTGTTTGTAGGTATATGTACATTATTATTTGACTATAAAAAAAAAAAAATAGAAAATTTTAAAATATATTATAGGAATATATTCCCTATTATAGAATTTTTCAAACATTCTCAATGCTTACTCGACTGATGAATTCTCTCTTCCCTTTCGCTTTTCCTTTTGTTTATTAGTTGTTTAGAATTGAAAAAAAAATTTTAGTTAATTAAAGAATGAACATTACATAAATTTATATAATTTTTATTTGAACTATATATATATATATATATATGAAGTTTTTTTTATAAGAATTTTTGTAGAAGTTGTGTTAAGTAAATTTTCTATATATATAGAATGAAGTTGTAATGCATCATAATCATCGCAACCATTCTTTTTAAATAACTAGAGTGACGAGTGGTGACAATAACCACCACCACCATTCTTACGATAAACAATATGTGTTTGACTTGGAATAAATCTTCCAACATAATATTCATCAATTTGCTTTTCCTGAATATAAATGTATAAAGTTTTTAAAAGAAAATAATGATCAAATAATGATTTCTATTTAAATCAGACGCAGAAAATTAAACCTGTAAAAGTTATTTAATACCTCTGTATCTATTAATTTTTGGAGCATTTGAAAATCATTTACATCCCATATTCTCACACAACCAATATTACAAAATGTGACAAGCATTGTGCCATCAGGTGAAAGGATCATTCCAGTAATTGGACCTTTAAATAAAATTAACAATAGCAATATAATTATTCATCTTTCTAAATAAAAAAAAAAAGATAGAAATAGAAGATTAATATATATAAATATATATAATAAATAGATAATCATAATGGTGACCAGTGCTTTGTTTGTTACAATTAATTAATACTAATTACTCATCACTAATTAATATTCAACAATAATAATAATAATTAAAGTATTTCTGGAAAGTTATAAAGATCATATCCTTTATTATTATTATTACTATTGTCAGTATTTGGATTCATTGTGTTGTTATTATTAGCAGTATTTGATTGAAGATTAAAACCTTGTGGTTGTGCAAACGAATTAGTAGTCGATGATGACAACAAAGAAGATGGCGACGAAAATAACCCGGTCGTTTTTTGTTGTGAAAACGTCGAAGCTTGTTGTTGCTGCTGCTGCTGTTGTTGTTGCTGTTGTTGTTGTTGCTGTTGTTGTTGTTGTTGTTGTTGTTGTTGTTGCAGTGATTGAAATCCC